TTAACTTACCTTCAAAAGGCTCAAACGAAAGCCTTTTTAAACTATTCTACAGAGCCATCCTTCTTCTCTTCACAGTAGCATTTGTCCCCCAAAGCGCCTCCTCTAAGAAAAGATACAGGGGAACTTCTGAACCCTATGCGCTGAAAAACCGTTAAAAATTTTGGGGTACGGTGGTGCTCGAAATATTGCGTTACACCAAGGCGCGAGCACTAGGCGTTGAAAGCCGCTCGCTTTCGGCTTGAGTGTTCTCGCTTTTTTCTCTACTTTTCTCCCTCTCTTTCATCTCATACTCTCTCTCTCTTGCTCTTTCATCGAATCCAGCGATCATCGAACAAGAAAGTTCGCTCTTCCACCATTTCGCTTTCTTACTCTTTTTCGTTATTTCGTTTCCGTTGTTTTTCGTGTTCGTTTTTTTTTCGTCTTCGTTTCTGTTTTCTGTTGAAGGTACGTAGTCATGTGTATGTTGATGTTTTCAAGAAGTTGTTTTATGGCAAAGCAATTTCTCTTCAGGGAAAGCCAGCTGATTAGCAGCAACCGCCTCTCGAGTATGATCCCGTTTTATGTCAGAAAGCTAGTTGTAAAGCTATCTTGAACCCGCTATGGTGAGTCAAGCTTATCTTATGTTCGAATATCAGCTTATTTTTGGCCGTTTTGAGACCCTGTGAACGTGTCAGTAAGCGCAGTGTAACGGTTTGTATGTGACGGTTTACTGAAATGTAAGCGCTACCACTTGTCTTTTTTAAAAGCCTTTTTTCCATTATTTTAAAATTTTTTTGCATTAACATGTTGAAACTTTACCTATAGGTTGAACTTGATGTATACCGTTGTAACAAGCAGCCATCCGTTATGCTCACGTAATTCTTTCAGTTTCGTGGACTTCCGCGCTAAAACCTGGGTGTGTCCTTTCTGTAACCAGAGGAATCCATTTCCTGCTCACTATGCCGCAATCGCTGTGGATAATCGACCACCCGAACTGTATCCGCAGTTTACAACGATAGAATACACGCTGAAGATAAAAGTTATGATATTTATTTTTGATTCACATATGTTCAAGGTAAACTCCTATTTAAACAGTCAGATGATATCTGATCATAATCACAAGTTTTGGAAATTCTTGTGAGCGTTTGCATCGCTTGTATCTGAATGGGCATGTTTCGTTTTCTGCGTACTCCTCATCCTTTTCTGAGCATAGGGAGATTTTCTGTCACCGCTTTCAAAAGAATTTGAGAGCTTCAACATTTCCTTGCTTATTCAGTTGAGTGGCAAAACATAGCACTGTTATCTGATAGGTGCTATAAGGTAGCTTAGAAATTGTGCTGATCAACGGCAGTGCCTTTGAGCTTGTGAAGAGAGGGAATCCCACCTATTCATCCTTTGGAAGGGATATTTGCACGGGAGATCATAAGGTATGAGTTTTAGGTAGTGGTTACGATTTGCAATACACAATTTTGTCATCAATGAAATACTTTTCAGCCTGTCGCTCTAGCTTTTTCGCTCGTGAGTTCTGCACGCTTTCTTTTTATTTTAACGTAAACGTCCGAGCTGTGATTCGTCTATCACATTTAAGTAATTTATTATTCTCATTCCTTATAAGTTGTGATTGTGATGCTCATCTGGATATTGTGATCCTGCCTTCGGTAGGACTATCTAGTTCATATGAGTTCCTCACCAGCTCTACTTTTGAGTATCTGGTTTGTTTTATTAGTTCTATTCGGTCATCGCGATCATAACAAATACTGATTTTCTGTTAGCGGTGCTGATGACAGTGAACTGACGAATCGTTGATGTGAGAGCACTTCCTAAACGAACGATTCGTTAGTTCACTGTCATCAGCACCACTAACAGACAATCAGTATTTGTTTGATTGCGATGACAATAGAACTAGTAAAACAAACCAGATACTCGAAAGTGAGCTGGTGAGGAACTCATAAGAACTAGATAGTCCTTCCAAAGGCGAGATTATTGACTTTCGCAAATCAAGTCCTTAAGCTGCATTTGTAATAGTAGACGATTACATATAGCGAACAATTCTAGACCAGTCTTTCAGAATCTAGCAGTTTGTTCCGCACTTGAGATTTGACAGTCTATGATGTGAGAAAATATCTTCTTTATTAATTTCACTTAACAACTCAACTCCATTTATGGGTGAAGCAGTAATTGTATTCAGGGCCACATTTCATCTTGGCAACTAACTCTATTTGCTCTGTGATTGGTCGTAACAATATGCAAAGCTAAAGGTTATCCTGGAAAGTTGGTTTATTGATGTGTAGCTTCACCATCTAGTTGTACTGTAGGTGTCGATCAAATCTAGTCAGCTCCCATCATGATATCGTTTATCGAGACACCGATGTTCTCAGAATTACGTCATAAAGATATTATATTTACTATAGACATGAAATTCACACAGACGGATTTGTGCGAAAGGAACGTGATTCGTTTGGGAAGTGCTCTCACATCAACGGGGTAGAAGCTTGTGCATTCGTTGTAGTTGGGAGTTCGGGGGTGGGGGGAGGGGGGGATAGGGAATGGGGGGGGGGGGTCGTGCCGGGGTCCGGCCCAAGGGGAGGGGTCGTATCCGACTGTCGTGTGCCGCACCCCCCGCTTTACCCTGGTTTAGACCCATGTGCACCAGATTTTGAGCGTCAAAACACAATCTTTATGCTCAAAAAAATAAATTATCAATCCGTTTACAACCGGTAAGCAATAATGAACCACCAAATTTGGTGTGTACTTTCGCGCCGACGATTAAAATGAGAGCATGAAAAATTATGAAAATCATGTAAATGAAAGGAACTGTAAGTGTTTTTCTAAATTAGGTTGCTCTCTCGCAACCTGAGAGTACCCTGAGGTTGCGCGGACCAAACAAGGTCATAATTTTTTCCTTTCTTCACGTGATTTTTCAATTTTTTTGCATAAATCTATTCTTCAGTCCAAATTCTACCTACGATTACTTACCTTAGCCCAAATTTCGTCTTCTCTTCTCTGCTTTGTTACGGCCCTTGTATAATAAAAAAAATTGCCTTTTTCTAACGTGTTGCTGTTCTATCTTCGATTTTCCTTATCTATTGACTTCCATTCACTCATCGTTCGCTGAGGTTATTAGCCGTACTTCCACAAATACCGCAAAAGGTATTTCGTAATCTTCTGCAATGTCAAAGGAGACTTTTTCAAAAGTCTCAAATGCTACCTCGTGCTGGGCCCTGCTAACTACTTGTCAATTTGATTACTCAATTTTTCGTTCCTGTCATTTCCTAGTGGTCGTGTCCTCGTTTTGCTGTTGGGGTCTATCGTTTGGTGATTTGGCTGTAGTGCCGGTTGGATACGGCAGTTTTTATTCATGATAGATTTGCTATTGTGTTGCGTCTCTTTTTTGTTGCTAATCATTTCTTTATAGTCTGCCATCCGTCCTAGTCTAGACTGAATTCGGGATTGAGAATTTTTTTATATCAAAACGTTTCTACTGTGAATTGTCAGGTCTGTTCAGGGCTTGGGAGTTAGATTGGTAGATACCAGCTAAACCAGTATTCTCTCTTGAACCGTTCCTCTTATCTTCGAGCGATAGCAGTCCCTACAGTCCCTACTGCTCACCTGGCATCTCAACTCACATATATGCAGGTCAATGGCGTACCCAAGATTTCGGCTCGGGAGGGGGGGGGGGACAAAAAATTTTTTCTAATGAAGGTGCGTGGCGTTAACCACGCACTCCGGAAAAATTTTTGTTGTCCTTTTCAAAATTTTTGCGCATCTCCAACCCCTAAAATCTAGAAAAAGGGGGCGTGGCGTCAACCACGCCCTAGAAAATTTTTTTTATAAGGCTAAAATGAATTTTTAAAAAATTTAAAAAATTATTTTAACTATTTACAAGTGCAGACAAATCATCTGCACAATTTTATAACCCACTAGCTGGCTTACCCGGCTCCGCCGTATGTTCCGAATAGAAAATTCCATTTCTTAACCGATCCGGACCAAACTTGGCACACATACACTTCGGGCCCCGGCGAGTGTCACAGTTCACTTTTCGTTATCGATTGATGTCGATTTTATCGATTTTTTGCAAAATTTGAGCTAGGGGGCTGGAATTTGGCAGAGGGGTGTAATCGAGCTCGATTACCCCCCTGTGCCAAATTCCAGCCCCCTAGCTCAAATTTTGCAAAAAATCGATAAAATCGACATCGATCGATAACGAAAAGTGGACTGTGACACCCGCCGGGGCCCGAAGTGTATGTGTGCCAAGTTTGGTCCCGATCAGTTCAGAAATGGAATTTTCTATTCGGAACATACGTACACACATACAGACAGACAGACAGACAGACAAGCAGACATTCAGCTTTATATATAAGATGTAAGTAGCTTTCAATTCGCGACCCGTTCTCGGGTGAGGGGGCGCCTCCTCCCTTCCCCGCCCCCCCCCCCCCCCCCCCGCCCCCTTCGTTACGCCACTGATGCAGGCTTATAGGTCACTCGCATTTGGTCGTATCTTTTTCGTGTGTTGGGTACTTCATACCGTATGAGTAGCTCTTTTGCTCATCTTCATCGAAGTACGAGCATTTTCTTTTTGGTCCTCGAACGTCTAGGGCGACTGGCTCCATAAACAGAATTTACATGGTTTGGTTGGTACACCTTGAGTGTAAAAGGTAAAGATAAAGATAAAGATCTCACATGATCATGTGTGATCTTGCACACACTGTTCACCTTTGGCGTCCCCATCCTGGAACTGCAATCGGAAAAACACAAGAGACCGACTAATTATTATTGCTTTCATCATGTTATGAAGGTTGGTACCTGAAAAGGAGAAAAAGCATGAAGAAAACATCGGAAACACTTAGCAGGAAGGGCTGTCTGTGCCTAAAATCGACGTGGACATGTGCAGTGACGGACATGTTAAATGAAATGATTTGACTGTAATCATCGACCACTAGAAACATAATTTTTGTTTTGAATGCAAAGGGTCTGCATGTTATACATGCATTTGGTAATATTCATTTTCGAAGGAGTTCCAACAAGTCGCGGCAGCATGGCTTCACGTGGAAGGTAAGTCATACCAGAAATCATTGCTGGGTTGACGTTGAAAACAAATAGATTGCCATATTACTAGCAGAACAGCATTTGCAATGTTTGGATTCATCTATCCATGCTACCCAATATGATTAATCATGTTGAGTGATTTGAAGGTTGACAACATCATTACTGGATGTGATGCAAGCTGAGAGTAAAGGGCCGGGTATACTCAAAGCGATTTCAGTCACGGCGCGATTTGGCAATTCGCCAGAAATTTTCAGGTCCAACACTAGCAAACTGCACATGCATAATGTGTATAACTCACGTAGATTGATAAAATACCCTATCTTCTGTACATTTGAAGTATGCTTACAATGAGTTATAGACACTTAGAATCTTGCCAAATCGCGTCGCGACCGAAATCGCGTGAGTATACCCGGCTCTTAATGCCCTATCTTCAGCCTCCTACGAGCTCTTCTTAGATTCCTCTTTTCTACCCGCGCTTTTCATATTGTAAGCTCCTGTGCCACCGTATGGTCACCTCCAACCTTCTTGCACTAGGGCTCTATCATACAGCATTTATAAAGTGTGTCCATAAGTGAACGGATACCTCGTATGTTGGGGGTTTCGGACTTTTTGGAGAAACCCCCTCCCCCCCCCCCAAAAAATGGTATTACGTGAAAGAGCGCAACCGAAAACGCGTGTCGCGGCTCAACAGTAAAAGTTGTCAATAGTGTTTTTGCGCTGATTGCGAACTTGCAGTGGTTCATAATTATACGAACAGCCCAAACAAAGTTTTTTTTTACCCAATTCTGCAAGCTCTTGATGCAAAATCTTTGTAACTTACAGTAACGTTTTGGGAGACGTGCTACACACCGGACCTAATACAGTTTGCAAAAGGGAACGTTATTTTTTTCACACGGGAGGGACCCTCGGTCGAAGTGGGGTTCCCACACGTGATACAGACTGTGCTGGTCTTGGGCACTAGTAACAAATCCGTGTTTCTTAGCTTCTCAATGATCTTCTGGGAGAGGTTACGAGCGTGGTTTTGATGACCATTTATCCCTTAAGTTAGCGGCGCCGAGAAATGTCAGCTGTGGAGGGACGGCCGAGTGGAGGACTGTGGAGACTGTAGAGGAAGTAGTGAAATTTCGGAATACTTATGTTCCAAACATTTGTAGATTGTATTGTTTAACATGTATCCTTAGAGGGCCCTAAGGCAGCGAAACAAGCGGCACCCGTTGAATATTTCGTAAAAATGCAAGAATGTTTGTAACATAAGTATTCCGAACGTTTTACCACTTCCTCTATAGCCTCCGCAGCTATCCACGCGGCTATCCCTCCACAACTGTCATTTCCGGCGACGCTAACTTAAGCGTTTCGTGGTCATCCTGGGAAAGCCATCATTCGTAACTTTTCCCAGATGATCACTGAGCAGCTAAGGAACACGGATTTGGTATCAGTGTCCCAAGACCAGCACAATCATAGGCATCACGTTTGGAAACCTCATTTCGAGCGAGGGTCCTTCCCTTGAATTGCTCTTAACCTTGGAAAATTCGAATGTTCTCACCGCGCGTTCCAACGCAGCCCCAATCTTATAGAATTTTTACAACTTAGAGCCTCAAAATCAGCTTCTGTTTCGCGCAAAGAGTTACGATGAGACAAATGCATTGCTTGTACAGTTATGTGTTCCTGCAAAAGTATTTGAAATTTTTGCAAGGCTAATCTAAGGCCTTGGAGCTAGAAAAAGTATGATTGCAATAGTTAATACTGTCATTTTCATAAGATGACGTCTGTGTGGGCCAAAACAAACGCTTAGCGTTACAGAACTTTTGAGCCAAATACAAAAACTTACGGACTTGTTCATGCCCTGTGTTTGGTTTTAGGATGACAGAGCTGAGTTTTGAAGCTTGAACTCGTGCCAACTCCAGGATAAGGTGAAACTTGTTGGGAAACGCAAGTACGAGTGTACAGGGGATTTCGAAGCGTCAAACGAATACCATCGGAAAGAATGAATGCATCTCATAGTCGTGGTAAAAACTGATTAGTGTGTTCGAATCACAGAAGAACAGACGTTTTTGGAGCGCACTGACTTTAAATGCAATTTTAGCAGTCCAAGGAAAACAAGGCTACATTTTTCAAAATGGATTGGGTTTTGTGTGTAACAGTCTGTCAAACCTCGTTACTGTAACTTTACCAAGATTTTGCTCACAAGATTGCAGTTTTTAGTAAAAAAGGAACTTGTTTCAGATGTTCGTGTAATTGTGAACCACTCGAAATTCGCATTAGGGCGCAAAAGCGTTCTTAACATCGTCAACTATTTTCATTCTTGAGTAGCATATACGGTTTTCGGCAATGCTTTATTCATGTAGCACCAACGGTTTCTTGAGTTTCTTAAAAAGCCATACGAGTTGTATAGTTACAGACCGCACCTTAGCTAAACTAGAAAGGACAATTCTCATTAGCGTTAGCCAAAGTGGCACTCACTTGGCACCTTATTAGCACGTTTGCAGATTTTCTTACGCCCTTGATTACAAATTTCATAATTTCTCCCAAGATGTTCCTCATTGCGAGTATGCACACCAAACTGCAACCGCACCAAACTGCAACCAAACTCATACAATCGACTGCTCTTGTCAAAAAGTCTTCTGTTGTACGGCGGAAATTTGTTTTTGAGCAATGCGTGGAAGCTTACAGCATGTCTGAACAATATTTGCATTATCTCATTTCTTAATCGTTAAAAAACGAATTGAGCTTTCACTTACCCGTGACACGTCCTTTTTGTTTGTCTTTCTGAATCTCTTTTCTTCTCAATTAAAGTACCCTGTCAACAGTACTTATGAGCGTGATTAGCTACGTAAAAAACTTTTTTTCTCAGCCTTATGGTCAGGGTTAAGCGTGGGGTGTGGCATGCCACACCTGGGGAGCCGTATTGAGGATTCAGGGGGGGGGGGGGTCTTTATCAAGGCGTCCGCTGTTCGCATAGCATGATATTCGTTAACAATGTCAGATAGGCCCGTCATGCAAAATACTAGCACATGGATGTTTGACCCATTATCGTATACGTACAGTAAGCATAATTGAAGATCTATAAAGCATAAAAGCACCGTTTTGTAACTAGCAAGTAAAATAATCCCTGTGGTCCAAATTTCAGCGAATTCTGAGGTTTCCAAATACATGACCACCTAAGTGAGATGGTCGTTTTTAAACATGTTACTTTGTTTTAGAGGTGCGTCAATTTACTATTTCTTTGCTCACATTAGGAGTCCATACTTCAAATGACCTCCAAAATAACGAATTAAGAGTAAGCCAAAATCTCGTTTGTTCCATTTTTCGTTTGAATATCTCAGGCTAGAGAAGACCAATCAGGCTCAAATCACTTTAATATAGAATACGAGGCTTAGGCTATCGAATATATACATTCTTGTCGCCTTTCCTTGCGATTCACGTAGTAGTGCAGACTTAGCATGTTACCGTGCCCAATATTTTCGCAGTATTTTACCAGTATTTTATATTTGCATAGGTAAGGAAAAACGATTATATCTTGCTCTTGAACAAACGTTTTTATATGTTTTTGCTATGTAAAGGAGAAGGTTAAGCAGTAACACCGATATAAAAAACGCAGCTATTTGATCTGTTTGAAGCTAAGTTAATGGGGTGTGGCACCACTCCTAAAAAGCTGTGGCTGCCACAGCTTTTTAGGGGAGGTGCCACACCCCATTAACTATATCAAACATTTTTAGCGAGCGTTATTTATATGAGTCGATAGCCTAGACCTCGTAGATTTCATAGGAATAATTTGAGCTCAATTCGTCTTCTTAGCTCTGAGTAATATTTGGTGAAACCACAGCCATTAAAAGCGTAAAATAAAACAAGATTTTGGTTGGCTTTTAATTCCAAAGTCAGGAGGTCTTCCGAAGCTAGATTTCTGAAGTGGCCAAAGGAGGAATAGTGCTTTGTCTTGAGTGCAAAAACAGCTAGCTAGATCACCTTGAAACAAAGTTAATCATGCTGGAAAATGAAGATTTCACTTAGGTGACCCAGTATCTTAAAACTTCAGAATTCGCTCTAACATTGTCTACAGGGGTTAATTGACATGCTAATCATGGATATGTTGCCCCTATGTTTGACAGGGCCTTCAAGTAATGCTATTTTAGGTTAGTTCAGGGGGTCTTATTGAGACAGCAATAAGGGGGGAGGGAGTCGTACCCAAGGATCGTGTGCCACACCTCTTCCTTGACCCTGCTCATGGTAGCATCTATTGGGAACGGGAGCACCAAAGGGAGTTTCAAAAGCACCTCCACGAACTCTGGGGTCTTGAGCTCTTGGCAGCTTACGATATTATTATAGAACCCACTATCAGGCCAATGCCCAAGTCGCGGCGAAAAATGTTATTTCAGAAGCGAAAAGATGCTTTGTAATTGGGAAAAGTGAGCCTCCTTCAGTAATGCCCGCTCATTTGTCGCCCACTCACCGATCCAGACAGAGGACTCACAGGTCGTGTCCCCGCAACGGGGATCGCGTTGGGGTTTTCACGGACTCTCAACTTCATATTTGAATCAGTGACATGAAAAGGCCTCGGAACGACTAAAACATGGAAATCGAGAATCTGGGTGGAAGATGCCCTTCAACCCTTTCGGACCTGGTGGTGGCAATTGCCACCATCAGTTCAGAAACCTGCTGTGCTGGCGCAAGAACATCATTTTACTAATCATTGCAGTAGTACGCTTCATATAGCCTTTGTCTTTCAGATGTAGCTTTGAAACTGCCTGTTCATTGGCTTTCCTGTCAACAATACATACATTCCTGTATGCAGGTGGATAGCAACCAATCAATACTTTGCGCCGGCTTCAGCACCAATTCAGTATCTCAATTATTAGCCAGAAAACTTTCATACTTGTTGTAATCTTCTACTTGTACTTGTACTTGTACTTGTGGTGGATCCGGGACACTTGTAGAACAGTAGATTTATTAGTAGACCGGATATGAATAAGAACAGAAGATAAGACGAGACGAACGAACGAATGACTTAG